CCAGGAGTCAAGACTGACTTGAAGACACCCAAAATAAATAAATCTAGAAGAGCAGATTTCCTACCAACAGGATTGAACCACATATGCCCAATCCATTATCTGGCATAAATAATCCAGTAGGCTAACTGAAGGTGTTTTTCTCCCAAGGACATAAACAATTTGGGATGGAACCAAATTAATCTAGCTAGTTCAAAGCTACCTGAAAGCCACAATTTTCTCCAAAATCTTAGTTATAAACAATGGATTAGATAATGGATTTAAACCTACTGGACTCTGCTTTCTTAACATAGAGAGTTAACTTAGAGAGTTAATGTCTCTCTTTAACAGAGACATTAATAACCTCCAAAGTAAATACTGTATAATTCAGCCATGACCAATATAAGCATGATTCCAAAGGCAGCTGTAAGACTTCAGCCTCTGAACAGCTTATCTGTGTCTTCAAAAGATACACACTGAACATTACCTTAATGATCTGACCTGAATGTTTTTGATAGCATGTGAGTAAACATGTAAAGGTTTGATATTTCACATATTTAAACTTAGCTAAAGCATATACAAAAGAGTAACAGTAAGCAGGTGAAGAAGGTCTTTATTGCTGTGTTGTACTGAAAACTTTTTTTTTTTTTGCAGGATATCAGAAAAATGGGTTTTCTGAAAAATTCTATTTAATTGTAATTGAATATACTCAAAACTGCTCACTGTTACATATGTGGAAATTACATTTGAAATCCATACCAGTCTCAGTGGGTATGTTCTAAATATTTGTAAAATATATGTAAGAAGTTATACAGTATGCATACTTTCTGAATAATGTATTCATTTGATAATTGCAGGATAAATTAAGTATTTATTATTGAACTTCTCAGTTCTGTGTTGTACAGGCTGTGCATTCTTTTTGAAATACACGTAAGTATGGGTTTTAGCTGCTCTTTGTCATTGTCTCATAATCTTTTCCTGAAGGCAAAGGCAAATTATTAACAAAATAAAATGTTTCAAAACTCTTTTCTGTCTAAGATTGAATAGACAACGTGTACACTATCCTTTTGGTGGTGCTACTAATTCATAGGAGTTAGGAATAAGAATAATATTACAAGCACATAGAATTCCAAAAGTGCCAATCAAACTTCCAAGTAAAGAATTAGGTAGTAAGTTCACTTTGTCATTGCATTCAGGATTATTCTGCTTGAACCTAAATATTAGTGAAAGACATTATGTAGGTATAATGAGCTAAGTTTACTGACAAGAAGTTTAATGTTTGTAGTTGTAGTTCAAGAGCTGGTAAAACAGCTCTATAGAGACACTAGATTGAGTCCATAAGACCAACAGCAAGAAACAGCATTGGTCATAATTTTGGATGATCTCTGGTGTGGGCAGGATGGAGGTTGTGCATCCATCCTTGCCCTACTTGACCTCTCGGCGGCTTTCAATACCATGAATCATGGTATCCTTCTGGATTGGCTCAGGGGACTAGGAGTGGGTGGCATGGTGCTAGGCTGGTTTGCCTCTTTTCTCCAGGGTCAATTCCAGTCAGTGATAACTGAGGAGGAGAGGTCCCGCCCTCAGCCCCTACTGTGTGGGGTGCTGCAGGATTTGGGGCTCTCCCCTCTCCTATTTAATATCTACACGAGACTGCTGGACAAGCTCATCCGTCTGCACGGGGTGAGGTAGCATCAGTATGCCGATGATACCCAACTATACATCTCTGCCCCTGGCAAATTAAGTGATGCTGTGGATACTTTATCCTGGTGTGTGGGTCTAGTTGGGGAACAACTAGACCCCCACTGGCTGTGAGGGTCTAGTTGGGGAACAACAGGCTTCAACTGAACCATAGCAAGACTGAGTGACTTTGGGTTTGGGGTCCTGCCAGTTCTGGGACTATACCATCTTTGGTGCTGGATGGGGTGGCACTGCCTTGGACAGACCTGGTGCACAATTTGGGGGTCCTCCTAGACACACAACTCCTGCTTGTGGCTAGGAGGGCCTTCGCACAGCTTTGTGTTGTGCTCCAATTGTGACCTTTCCTGGATTGGGAGGCTCTGCTCACAGTCAGTCATGCCCTAGTCACCTCCAGATTGGACTACTGTAATGTGCTCTACATGGGGCTGCCCTTGAAGAGTATCCAGAAGCGTCAACTGTTGCAGAATGTGGCGGCGCAGGCAGTTGTGCATGCCCCTAGAAGAGCACGTATCACACCTCTGCTCCGTGAGCTG